AGTATGCGTGTGCATTCCAACCTGCCCACGGGTCTGACAAGTGGCGAACGCTACCGAAGTAATCCGGTCCTACCTTCGATGAGGAGTCGGCGGAACGAGATCGAAGAGAGCGGGCAAGCACATTAATGGCGCGTAATGATTGGTCGATGCGTAGGCGATGCACTGGCAAATCGCCGATTTCGAAAGGGCACACGAAAGAGTCCGCATTCCATGCGCGGAAATACATGAGAGGCGGTATTCGTAATTGAAATTGCAAGCTCTACAATCGGAATTGATGACACAACAAGATCACGATTTCAAAGACACATCCTATACAATTTCCGAAAGATGCATTACTATATGAAATATTCTACAAGCGTTATGTTATCACAGTTATAGATTAAGTGACAAATTTGAATGTTTCACGAATAAAATGATTTATAGAAGACATTGCTTGTCAAGATTTTAACGTTCAACATTATGTAAGAGCAATTGTTAAATTTCTATTAATAATTTTTCACATCAGATTATGAAACAAATAAAATTTACATAAAGTAAGATATATATAACAACAAATTTGAGTGATTATGCAAGGTTTTGTGATTGTAGAAAAGAATGCTGGGACGAATACCTAAAAATGTGTCTTAAATTGTCACTTGACGCACACGCGTTGGCAGATCGAAGTGCCGCAATGAATGTTTACGCAACAGTTCACGGATCGATGACATGGATGCGCACGAGAGATGTTCGGCGATGATATGTGCGCGAGTGCTACGCAAAATATTGCACGGCCCTTATAAGAATGACGTGTTGTCATACCAATCATACCGGACGATTCACGATTGAATTCGAATGGCGCTGTCTGTTGCCGTAACATTTCGAGATGATCATTGACACTCGTCATCAGACGCGCGCATGAACACCCTCATCGATGAAAGAAGAGGCACATTCGTTACAAGACCATCCCATTTGTTATCCTCGACGATCGTCAGCTCTCTATGAGCAGCAATAATAATATGAAATGAACATAATGCGGCGTACTGTTCTTTAGCAAGTAAAACAACAAAACTTTACAAGAGTCACGTATAAATTCTTTTAGTGGATTTTATTTAAGATATAATGCAGACACACAAGATGTATGCAAGTGAAACGAGCTAATTCGTGGGAAATGCGTGTAAAGAAGTGCAAATGATCGGACTAATAGATCGATAAAAGCGACGCATGTTTCCGAAGGCTATCTTCCAACAAGATGTTCGTTATGCTTCGGCGAACATGCATTGCGCTTTGTAGCACTTCAATAATTCCGAAAGGATGTATCTCGAATTTTTATATCACAATCTATCATTATGTATTTAATTCGAACATAATTTAAATAATAATGTGTAAGAAAACGAGTCTGATCGAAAAGATCTCTATTTTAATCGATATCTCTAGTCGATACACCGTGGCGCTATTAGGCGACTAATGAGTGCATTAATGTTCGCCTCTGCTATTTCTGTGATCTATGTTCTTCTCGGCTGGCACTCTAAGCAGCATAGACGCCTACATTTACGTTTCTATTGAAGTCGCCGTATTTTTCTGTGTACGTTTGTAATACTGGAATATACTCATTGTGGCTTAGAAGTGGTTGGTTATTTACTAATTCCTGTCATAATGAAATTGAAATACCAATTTAAATAGTAATAAAAATAATAAATACTAACAAATCTTGCAAAATCAACCATAAAATTTTATATATACTATATATTTTTAATAAAATAAAAGATCGTTCTTTTTATTGTGCGCGCTGCCACGTAAAATGTAATTTTATACAAATATTTTTAATAAAACACACAAAATATCGTTTTTTCTATTGCGTGCTATCACGTGAAAATGTAATTTTGCTCCCGTTTTTCCATATATAAAATACCATTGCTAAACGGTTTTCTAAATGCAGACTTTTGTACAATTATTTTCATTTTGAATCGAGTCTCCCAGAAGGATAAATTAATCAAACTTTAATCAATTATGTCCGATCACCCACAGTTCTAATATCTTATATGCGACTAAGGGGAGATACTACTTTTCCGAAACAATTCCACGGTGGAGGACCAAATCACCAGTTTCGATCTCCCGGGAACGCTTTCCGCCTCCGAACAATCTAGAAAGCTTTTGCTTGATTAAGTTTTAGCCGTGCACCTCCTAAAATGCTTTGCTCGTGATGATGACATTGCATCTAGACCCACCCGGCAATTTTATTGCTCCATTTCGCAGTAACGATTTAAACTTTCCGACCTTCCGGTCGATAAAGTCGCGTAGAAGTATTACTGCGATGCAAGAAAAACAACCACAAAGTTCGCGGGGCTTTTGCTGTATCGCAATTGCGCGAGTAAAACCCGCGGTTTATTGCGCGCTCGTGAAAGGAATTGTTTAATCTTTGCTTCACCCTTTCAAACTCTTTTTTGAAGGGAAGATTGCTTCCAAGATACAGTTGAAACGACTTTCACTTTCTTACTAATTACAGACATTGGCTGGTGTTGTAGTTTCGCAAAATTTTTGGGCGCAGAAGACTTCTTCTGTCAGTGGTAGTTATCGATTCTCACTTTTTCGTCAGACGCTGGCACGGCCAATTTTACGACTCCTAAACCGAAGTCGAAAACGCTTCGCGAGTCCCGAGACGAAGAAAAAAGAACAACGATCGACTTTTAACGCTCTTCATGCACTGAAGCAACGTGTGCATTTTAAGCAGTGATCCGAAGCGAGAAGGGAGAGGCTTGCAGGCGGAAAAAAACGATTTTGGAGCCATTACGTCATCCCTTTTGAGAGATTGACGTGCTCGTCTCGCCGTGTCGGATGAAGCGAAAAGCATGTTACTCTAGATTAGCATAACAAACGTGTACTAAAATATTTTAACCGCATGGAGTGCTGCAACACTGAATAGGGACACGGTTTGAGAGTAAAACCGTGATCAGACTCATCGCTCAACATACAACGCAACCGTATGTCGTAAAAATGTTACTTTCTTTGAAAAAATTTAATAGTCAATTTTTCTTAATAAAATTAGTCTTACGCGCAAGAGCCGAATAATTCTGAATGTTATTTATATAAATTTTTCGGTTTTTTTTTCTATAACATTTAAAAAGATTTTATTTCAAATTTAACCTTATATTTTTTAAACGTCATAGTTAAACACTAAACATTTAATATGTTTCAAATATACTTCAGTTTTCAACTATTCTATGATTTCATAAACATCATAATACAAAGATTATTAGTGCAAAGTTTGAAACATTGAAACGCAAATTCACTGAAATTATATCAGCCTTTGATATGAAATATATCAATTTCAGCCTTCAGTAAATGAATATTAAATACATTACAGTGCCAGTAATGGATCAAAACCGCGAACAAGAAGCGCTGTAAAGTGCAGACTGCGAATGAACGATATGAATGGCGGCAAAGAGGAAAACACATGGAAAACGCAGATAATTACATTCTTACGTGATAGTGAACAATTAAAAAGAACGATGTTTTATTTTTATATTCTATCGGATCAGTTACTGTAATCATTTTTAATTATTGTAATACAGATACTTTGACATAGCTTAATTGTGTATGCAAACAATTTCATTATGTGACATACATATATTTTAATTAAAAAGTCCAATCATTTTGTTTGTCGAAAAAATTTTTTTACGTTAGTTTTTACGAAATTTTTTCGATTTTTTAATCCCAACTAGAAATTGACTCGATATACTATAAGGATCTGGCCGGGTATTTTAAAATGCCGTTAATGGATCAAAACTGCGAACAAAAAACGCAGTATGTAAACAATTTTATCAAATACCACATATATATTTTGGTTAAAAAGTCCAATCATTTTGCTTGTCACAAGTCGAAAAAATTATATTGTATCTGATTTATTATATGCAGTTAATTGTTTTAAATTATATATAAAATAAACCAATAAATTCTAACTTAATAGAAAAAGATTGCCTTTACAAGAAGAACAACGTTATTCCATTTAGTGAACACGTGTTCACGAGTTTGCGCCCGGCAGCGATAATGAAAGTGAAACTAACAACATCTAAAATCGACGATCGACGAGGCGTGAGATCGAACATCACATGATCGAAACGCGATTAAGAAATCGGCCGAGATCATTTCCTCGTTACGATGATGCAAACGGGCATTTTATCATGGTTACAAATTATTCCTCATTTGCATATATTTTATGAATTTCCGTATTTTTGTGACAAACAAAATTAAAATTTCTCTATTGGGAATTCCCATTAATGTTACGTTAAAAAATTGCGATGGATATCGCAATAAAGATCCTATTTTAGCGATTGTATGACTAATTGGGAATTTTCTTTATCATTAATTTTTGATACAGACCAATGGTAAATTGCAATCAACAGCACACCTGCACCTTATCAATTGATTTAATAGAGATATAAACTGTTTTAATTAGCACATTTGATAATCTTCGAATAAACAACAATTATTTTAATCGATTACATATTATAAAAATATTAAAAATATGACGTTTCGAGATTTAATTCTGTGATGTAAAAGAAAAAAATTTATAGAAATATTGGAGATAAAATATCTATTTTTATCTCTAAACTAATATCAACTGTGCACACTATATATTCTAAATGCCAAATAAAATCATCTTTTATTATTTTAAAGATTTCGTATTTTATTATCTAAACACGAAAACTGTTTTATATAAAATATTTTCAGTATTAATGAAATCATTCAAAAAGTACTGAGGAGCATTTCTTAAAAATTTATCATAATTTTCTAGAATATTGTGACTCTACGACTCTACTGTTATTCATATTATCTGTACAAAATAGTTTAATTATATCATATATATCATAGCATCTACCAATAATCAAAATATCTGATAATCAATCAAAAACATGTGAGATAATTGCATAATACCTTACATATTTTTAATGTGTTTGGACATCAAATCAGGCACTTACAGATAATACATAATCTTATCAATAAATACTGAACAAATAAGAGTTAATTTCGCGTATATAAGACAGCGAGAAAAATTAAGAAGCATCAGTTTTCGGGGAGAGGAATCACAAGTAAGAAGTATTACGATACAATATACCGAAGGTGAGTCTTGAGAATCGATAGAGAGTTAAAAACTTCAAATTTAAAGTATATATTAAATATGAGCAACAATTGGATATTGTTATAAATAATCATAGTCGTAATCCATCGAAAACATCACCTAAATGAATACTTTTCTCAAATAATTATTTTATAATTGTCAATGACTTTACTGTATCTGTCATTTGGTTTTGTTAAACATTGCGAACTAAATTGATATCCTACATGAGTAGAGAACTAATTAGTTCACATTTATTATATTTCATCTACTATATAAAGTTCAGTGTTCTGTCATATATTAATTTTATTCATTGTGATATTATTTAATAAATAGAGATTTTCAATATTCTTATTGATTTCTCGATTAATTAAAATAATAACTTGTCTGCGTTCCGAATCGATCTAGATCTTACGTAAATCAAATTAACGGATAACTACTAATTGCCAATGTTTACAAATGTCAAATTAAAAACTTGATTTTATTAGTATATTTTGTTTTTGCAATTTTTTGTTATTTTAAATTCAATTCAATCGATTTATAGAAGTTACTACATGCATTATATGTGCATGTCACAGTATAATAATATAAATATAAATATAATATTAATGTTTGGAAACGCGTAATCTCAACAAAACCTATTTTCGCAGATGAAATTTGCATTGGCACTGTTGGCCCTTGTGGCTGCGGCTTCCGCCAAGATCGAGATCCCCAATTTCGGCAGAGGCGAACTCCACAAGGATATCCAGGAGTTCTTAGACATGCTGCCTCAGGAGGAAATATTCGCAATCACCCTTGAATACTTTTCTGAAGACAAGGAATTCCAGGCGATGGTCGAGTACTTACTATCCGACGAATTCAGAGATCTGGTGAAGGAAGTCGAAGCTCTGCCCGAGATTAAAGTTTTAATGGATTACATTCATGAAGCCGGCATTGACATTTACACGATCGTAAACCTATTAAACGAAATGATTGGACTCGACCCGCTCACACCGCCCAGCAGCTTCTTTGCCGTCCGCAAACAAATCACTGGTGGAATCCGTGGATATGTCGATGATATCATGGCCATCTTGCCTTTGGAAGAACTTAACGATCTTTACGAAAAGAAATTGAAAGAGTCCAAGGCCTTTGCCGATTTTATTGCTCAAATAGAGTCCGAGAATTTCCAGGAAATCGTCAACAAAGTTTACGCCAACCCCAAAACCCAGGAGCTCCTGAAACACGCCGAAGCGGCCGGCATTGATCTAGAACTCATCAAAGAGTTGCTGAAGGTTCTCTGGGGCATCAAAATTCCTCCCCGTCCTCGTTTTTACATCAGACATTAGATGGACAACAATACTATTGTGAAAACTGAATTCCTTTCTATTGCCAAAATATGTTTATTAACGTTTTCTAAAGAACATGTCACGTCGTAAATGTTACGAACCACATATATCGACCATACAATCGTATACTTCACTTGTGCAACATAAATAAATAAAAAGCTTTCAACTGCATATAATTGTGTTACATTCTTTCCAACTTGCAAACTTTCAACATTTAAATATTAATTAATATTTGATTATCTGCTTATTACTTTACATTAATTATCGTTAATTACTTATAATATTACGCAAAAATGAAAAAAAATAGTAATAATGTGTTTTTAAATCCCTGAAGCTGGAAATATTTCTTTGTGCATAAATTATCATCATTCAGATTCATTATCCGAATAATGCTAAAATAGAAAGTCTTCGTATTTTAAATGTGACATTTGCAAATATCGGCAAATACTGGCTAAACATTTACTAATTCGGCTTTGCGTAATTCTTCATGTAAATTGCGAATATTACTCAATTTTTATTATACATCGTTGATCAAAAATTTGCTTGAACGCGATCTAAATAACTTGACCATTCATACTATGCAATGCATTTTTTTCACATTGCCCCGAACCGTTCCCACCCAGTCTTGCCAGACCACGATAAGCGAGATTATGCTGGCTCGACCGACCGACCGACCTGCCAAACTCGTTTTCGCACGTTCGCGACACTATAACGCCGTGAATGGAAGTGAGATTGGGACGAGTCCGCTTCTCCCTACTCTTGCATAATTATTCCACCTTTTGCTCCTATATATATATATATATATATATATACACATACACGCACACACACACATATATATATATACATATATATAAAATTTCATATATATGTTATATATACACGTATGATTTATGATAATATTTATACTTTAATTCTTCAAATGTTTGCAAAATTGAATGATTAAGTAATAAATAAAAATCTGTTCCATATTCTTGTCGCAAGTTATAATAAAATTCGTATAAATTGAAGCTAAAATGGTAAAAGCGCCCGCCATGTTTAAATCGACAAGAATAATGATAATGCCACGAATAATTCATATCAAACTCACCGACAAACCTGGCGCTGCCATTTAAACAATTTCAGACGGATGCAACATCGATCACTAACCAGTAAGTAAACCCTAGTTAAGAAGATATATTAAAAAGTTACAAAGTTACAAAAAGCAATGCCAGCGTTCGTTCTGTGAAGAATGACGAACGCAGTAAGAATACGAACAAGCAGAATCTAATAGCGATTAAACCCAATTTCCGATTGAACATATGTTCAACCCGAAATAGTTTTAATCTGATCTAGGTTCCAGTTATAAAGCAGCATTGAGATAAAATGTCGAAGCGCATATGCGCTTTACGGAACGCAGCCCTAGTAACCCAAAGTGGAACCTAGTAACCCCGGGATGGGACTTGTGACATCATTATTCGCTCTCGAAGCGAGTAAACCTGTGCCAGTCGAAAACGCTATAAGAGAAGGAACAGCAACAGAAGCAAGATCTAACAATTCAGTTGCTAGTTTCAACGCTGAACAAATTATTTACCATTGTCTCTGACTTCTGCCAACATCGAAGCTCCGTTAATAAAACGGGAGACCAAAGTAACGACATTCGGGGACATCAATTTTATAGTACAACTAACTAAAAAGCAGACAAACGACATGTTGGTGCGTGCGCGAGTATTTCTCGATCAGGAATATTGTTTGGTCGATTTTGGCGAACATAGATCTGCTGCATAACGAAAACAAGATAGAGATGAACAGTGAAAGATGATCGGATGTGAATAATATATTATTAAATTATAGAAAGTAACCAGATTATATAAACAGATTATGAAATTACTTAATTTGTAATATGATAATAATGATTAATATCACTACTAATAATAATGACTTAATGTTAATAATTTAGAAATATGCGTAATAGGTGAAATTCGAAAGCCGGCATTAATATTTACAAAATATTCGGTAAAAATTACATGGTCACGATTTTGATGAATTCACGAAAAAAAAATCCTCGTTCTTCGTCTTTTCGCTTCTAGGTGAAAATTACATGACTAACTCTAAAATATCCATACGTGTAGACAGCGATTCCAAGTAACTATTTCACAAAGATAACTACAGAATCGCAGATTTTTAAAGTGGGGATAAGGGAGTGCTACCAACTAGTGTGGCTTTTAATTAATGACGCCTGGAAGTATACGCGTCGCGAGACCGATTTACGAGCCGGCGCGCGCTGGCGTGTCGTGTGGCTAGGATTTATGGTAGCGCACCGGTGTTTCCCGCTAATATTTAACCGTGTTGAAAGAGGTTAGCGAGATGCCGCGGGAGGTACATGCTCTCCGCAGATCGTGCGTATGCTGGAATAGCAAGAACGACGACGATCGACTTTCTCGCGCGACCGATTGCGCGCGCGCGCAAGATAGAAATAACCATTGTTCAATAGCTTTCCAAATTATATGTGGATAAAGTTCGAAAAGTAGGAAAATACTACACGAACTATCAAAATGCAATAATACTGACTAACGGTTCATGCATTCGCTGTGGAAAATCGCAATTGATAATGAAAGATGAGTGTATTATAATCTCAAACGCAAAGAATCTTTGGTAGGTCAATCGGCCACATTAACATAAGAAGGAACTTTACAGGAAAAGAGGATTTACCTTGTCTTAAGAGAAATAAAAGACGTAATTTATTATAAATTCTTAGAAATTGGTCAAACTGGAAAACACTATATAGTCGCCAGCTTCACTATTTAAGTACAGCAATAAACGAAAATAATTTTTTAACACGCCTATAAACTTAAAATATAATTCAATCACAATTTTAATTGCAATAATCAATTACAATTTTAATCTTAGTGATAAAAGAACGCGAGGAAACTGGAAGAATATAATAAAAATCGTGTCACTATCCGACTTCATTTTTATTTCAATGTTTAATTTTGACAACGAAAGCGAAACCGTTCTTAGTTAGTTGTTAGTAAAAAAATAAGCTTAGAGAGATAAAGCATTATTCATTTAATGACAATATTGTCCAATGCGAATATCAAATATATGTCTTATTTTCGTTAATTTCAAATAAATTTGCGCAACTATTATTTCATGCAAAATAAATTGGCCATTTGCATTAATTCTAAAACTTACCTAAATATAGACAAATACTTTTATAATCCAGTAATAGCTCCGCCTATTCAATGTGGCCACTTATAAACTGCTGAATCTACGCTTCGTATACGCTTCGTATTACTCGTAGCACTTGTAAACTTTAGCCTAGACAAACGGAGTCTCGCTCAACACGTACAATTGTCACTGCGATTGTATCCACGTGGTCCATTCGTGTACAATGTATATCGTGAATGTTGATGTAAACAATTCAATTTCATATGGCGAATAATTTATTGCGAGTATAACGAGCTGATAAAACGACAGCGAAAATATCAATCAATCCTGCAGGGATTCCGGCATTCGTTTACGAGGCCGATCGTAAATTTTGATAAAAACGGAACAGACTAATCTCGACGAACCTTCGCGATCTCGTTATCGCATTCGATGTCCCAATTCGATTCCGCCCAACGTGTAGAAGGGGAAACAAAGCGTTCTCGTGACGATCGAAGATCAGGCGATAAAACACTGAACTGACCTACGACAAAACTGTTTCGCTTACGCTAACGCGAAACGGATCGCCCTTCATTCACTATTGCGGCGTTATGAATGAGCCACCGTGCGCTGCGTGTTTCAAAAAGTCCGACACATTACCGCATCCTCGACGTACTCTCAACACACATATCGACGACAAATCGGAGTTCTTGCACGATATACGACTATTCGAATAAAAAAAAATAGATAATTGTTTTTCGTCCCTTCGTCGTGCGTTACACTGACCTTTCACGCACGATCGTCTATCATCGATGCACTATCCTGTCGCGTCTTTTCCTTCAGGAATTACTACTCGCTCTCGTCAGCGCCTACTTGCGATCATCGTAACGAGAGAAACGTTTTCCTCAGGTTATCACACACGCACACCATCTCCTGAATCTCTTATCGCACACGTAATATTGAGGAATATCGATTGCGAAGATAGGATCGCGCGACTGATATCGGCAGATATCGCGGGAATATCGCCCTCGCTCGAGAAGAAAAACAAAATTAAAATCTCTCAAGGGAAGACCACCGACACGTGTGGCAGGAAGAACGGCGCGCACCGCTGAGCAACAGCCGGATCGAATCGTACCGCGGCCACGACGGCAATCGCCCCGCGTCGGAGGCTTAAGCGCCTCCGACGCGCGGTCGGAAACCCTGAGTGCCGGTCCCCCCCCTACGGCCGACCGACCCGGCCCCCACCTCCGTCTCTTTCGGTGACACACACAACACCGGTTTCCCTGTAGCGTCGACGTGCACCCAAGTCGACGAGATGCGTTCAGGGTGTGTGAACAGCTTTCGCTTCGGGTGGATCGAAGTGTTTTCACGTCTCGAGAGATCACTTGAAGAAAGAAGGCATCATAGACGGATTCGAAATTTACGCTAGTATTTTTTTTTTACCCCAGCAGGTTAGAAAGTAACCGCAAAATGTATTTTATATTTTGTTCAATAATTTCATAAGTTTATAATGTTTACAGAAACTCAATGAGCAAATTTTTGAGATGTTAATATTTTTCTTCTTGAATTTTTGAATTTAAAATTGTATTTTTAATCGTAATAATTGAGCTATTCGACAACTAATAATTGAAATTTAGCGGCTATCAAAAACTTTTTTACTATAATTTAGTTATTTAACAATTAAATTATCATTATAATAAATCAGATTCTTTCGTTTTAGACCAAAACGCGTCAAATGAGTTTATTTTTATCAAAATCGGAGGTGAGGTAGCTATTCTAAACA